TCTACTAGAACTAGAAGGCCCATTAGGCAATTACAATTAGAATAGGCAATCTATCCTAGTTTCTAACTTTCTATAATCTTTTACACCAAATAGGCAACCCATTAGGCAATTACAATTAGAATTCAATTAGGTGTCCTTTTGTACAGGAGCAAAACCGAAATCGACCCAACCCGACTCAAACTGATCAGGTCGGTTTGGCCTATCAGTGGGTCGGTTTCGGTTTCCCCCTCAGGTAACCCGACTAGGTCGGGTCGGTTGGGAAAACCCCAATAAACCGACTCAACTCGACCCGTGAACACCCCTACCTTCAATTGGGCACTCAATTGAGCCCTTCAATTGGAAACACTTCTGAACTTTAATATTGTTTTGTTGACTTTCCGTGGATCTATTTTCATCAGTCAGTAACTCATTATGTTTTGTATGCATATGGGGCTAAGGGATGAACAGAAAGAATAAAATAAAATATAGAAAAATGAGAAAACTAGGTAGAGTTCCAGTTCAAAAAGGCCTGTAGTAACATCCTTGAACTTTTTCATAAAGTGTACCCAGTTAATTTGCAATCTTTCTTTATAAGAGGTATCTTCTAACCCAATCCTACAAAGGAGCCTCGGATTACCGATTGTGTCTATGGCTGCATTTAACAAGGTGATTTGTGTTGTCTTCCCCCTCTTGTAGGATATACACGCTCTTCATAAATCTCCTGACTAATCAAATGATTTTTTTTTTAAGATCTGTTGAGTGGGCCACCGATTTGTGTTGATGAGTGGGCCGATCTATGTTTAGTTTATTTTCCTTTAAATTAAGAAGTTGTTGGGCSTTGGGCCCATTAGTTTTTATTTTTAAAGGGGTTGTAATTATTTAGTTTGAGTTGCCACCCTATTAAGGGCATCTTTGTAATATCTCATACTTAAGTTAAATATAAATAGAATGAGGGGCTGGCGGCTAGGGTTATCTATCACAATCCTAGTTGACCTTCTTCTCCTTTTCTTTTCTTTCCTTTTCTCTTTCTATTGCTGAAATCTACAACTTTCTCCTCTTCCTTTCACAAGAAGCTTGACCGAATCAGCATATAAGGGTTTCTACTTGGTATCAGAGCAGGTTGAAGGTTTTGGAAGTGATTCACTCATGCAGCCCTAGATTGACCGACTCCATGGAGATTTAAGAGGTATTGAAGCTCTCAGGTAAGCCCAATTTTTGGATTTTCTTGATGGATCTGTATGCCCTGTGGCTGGTCTAGGGTTTCTCATCAGAATCAGGAAAAACTGGAGAAAGGGGAAGAGTCATGATTTTGTTGGACTCTTCAATTTTTGACATAGGTAGTGGCACCCTAATTTTTTAGGGTTCCTTGGGGTTTTTTGTAAGGGGCGATTCAAGTTCCATGTGGTTTGGAGGCTTCTAGAGAGGGCGGTTGCTTTTTCTCTCTCTTCTCCCATCCCATAGAAAATGAATCTTTCGTGGGAAGAAAGTCCAGGACACCAAAAGGAGTGTCGTTGGTTCTAGAAGGTGTTTTGTTTGTTCTTGCTGCAATTTTTGGTTGTTTTCTGTACCTCTTTTGAGAAACATGGAGGGACAGAGTTGAATATAAGCTCGGGAATGAAATGAGACCAGTGGGAGGAGGTGCTGGAGACCCCTTCGGAGCTGGGACCATTACTATAGTTAGGTTGGATGGTACAAACTACTTGGAATGGTCCCAATCTGCAAAGATGGCCATTGGGGCTCGTGGAAAATTGGGGTATATTACTGGTGAAGAGGTGAAACTTGAAA